CCACCTAAACTTCCCCTTATATCAAAAATTCAGCTTCTCTTGAAATACAGGAACTCCATAAAACAGTCAAGTTACATGATGGGCAAAAGATTAATCCATGCGCGGTAAAATCTTGGATATCCAATAGGATCAAATCTATCAAAAGCTTCCTGTCAGCAACTCTTACAGCAAAGGATTTCTACACAGATTCTGTGATTGTTATTATAGATCATCTTGCAAGTATTGCAAGATAAAATCAATAGCCCAAGTTTCAGTTGTCCTATCGGAGTGGCTATTAATGTCATCTATGAGAACTCATGCAGTTTTAGAGCTGGTAAGGAGGGCATCTGTTAAAACTGATTTGGAGACTCTATAATCTCTCTGACTGATATCATAAATTCTCAATTCTTTTCGTAGCTAGTTTTACGGGGCAAAGTGTTAGACACACATAAGAGCAACACAACCATGTAGTGGGAATGAAAATATTAATATGGATGGTAGGAGTGACTTCAAAAGGACAATTAAAAATCAATACAATAGAAAAACACTGGGAGTGAACCCTGTTAGTGATAAGTCAACAGAAGTTAATGTGATAGGAACATGTACAACATAGATCACCAAATGTAACCATAACCGAAGGAAAACTAGTTAAAGATAAATAAGGGCATGTATGATGATGAGGCTTAGCTATCAACATCCCTAAGGAAAGGAAAATCACTCATTATGTGAGACACCTGGCCAGGCTTGAGGCGTGCTTGGTTCTCCCATTACGATTGGCCTTTTTATTTTCTGCCTGCAATGTAGGGGAAATCAAATAGATCTCTGGATAATGATCCACTGTCAATCACTCTTGGTCTCCACCTCTTAAGTTCCAAGATTTTCTTCTCACTTGGTAGTTGGAATTTAGATCGCTATTTTCTGTTCACAAATGCTATGACTGTCCCCCGCAGTGCATTTCCATTATCTGTGCTATGTCCACATACTCAAAATAAGAAGTCAACTTCAGAGTTGAGACTTTTATAATGATGCTTCGTCTTAGACTCCGCGGAAATTTTATACAGAGCTCACATGCCACAAGTAAGGAGTAAAATGCACTCATCAAACCTAGATAATTATTTATGCATTTCGTAGCTCCTCTATACCAACTGTACCAACTTCATGAACTTCAATTCCTTGTGGTCCCACACTCCCCTTGTGAAGTATTTCCGATGAAACCTTTCCTTGAGGCTTATCATTATCATATGTACTCATAAAAACTGCCTGGTGTCCCATCCAGCCTAAAATACTGTTGCACTAGATTAGCTAGACTCTGTATGACCTTATAAAGCCTTTCAAGAACTTCAGGTGTTGAGCCATAACACGAAAACCTAAAGTCATTATGCTACTTCCCTTACCTACATGAAAAATCACGTAATGCTCTCCTAAACTGCAATCTCAAAATCCAACATTAGGCTCTCAATATAATCTTAACAAAATTCAAGAGCACATTTTCTACTGATTTACGACAATTGACACAGGTGCCCTCATACAACAATTGTCAAGAGCATGTTTAAAAAAATTAAAACCCCTACATTATCTAGCGTTTCAATCAAAATTCAAAATTGAAAAATTGAAAAAGCTATGAACTATTGAATACTAAAATTTACAATGAATGAACAGAGGCAACAGACCTTGACGACAAGGGGAGAGAGAGAATGCGTTTGGATGCTGGAGAGCGAGAACTGAAAAGTCGGCCCAGGCAGGCGGCCAGGCGGGGTGCCGAAACCGGAGGACGAAGCAGTGACTGGGAGAGAAAGTTCCATCCTCTGCGAGTGCAAGCTTCGTGTTCGTTCGAATTTAAAGAGTACAGCCGTTCGGCTGTACTCTTAAAATATTCGAATGTAATTAGAAAGTATAGCCGTGCGGCATCATTTTTGCTTTGTCCAGGGCACGTGCAGCATATGCTATGAGAGCTCTTTGCTTTAAACTCAAGGAAGGATGCAAAATGCAGAAAGGGCGCTCTGATACCACTTGATGCAGTTCAAGTATGAACTCCCAGAGCCTGTTACTATTTTTTTCCTTGTGGATTTCCTTACTACTCTTCACCTTGTTTCTTACTTGTTTTGCACTTTAAAGTATGCTGATAATCTCGTTGGCTAAAAATTATGTGAATAATTTCACAATCTACTGTCTACTAGATCCCTCCACTAGTTTATGAATCTTCGAGGTAATTTATTTCATTAAAAAGTAAACTAAAGTCAAGGGTTTACCTTAATGTTGAGGTTCCTTGCCCTTCCCCTCCTTGGTCACCCGTTTGAATCCCAGGAAAAGTGGCCCCTCCCCAATTCTCTGAAAAAAAAAAGGAAGTAAACTAGTATTAATGATCCTTGCATTTCATTAATAATTACATATGCCTTATTTGATAAGGTCATTTAAGCCCAGCACTTTGGTCCGCATATGAGCCCGAAAATTCTTGATCATTGGGTAGGAGAGTATTTAATATAGGGTTGGTCTGGCCTGGCCTATTCAACCCTTAAGGCCGAAAAAATCCGTAACTAAGTAGTGGGTAGTGGCCAGGTTAACCCCTCTTAAGGTTGGATTGACCCAATTCAACCAATTTTACATGCCTAGTTAGGAGATTGAAAGGCCACCTTATGAGTTTTAAAAACTAAACTTCTATTTTAATTTTCGTGTTAATTTGATAGATAAATTGAGTTTGAACACAACGACTAAAATAGGAAAAGTAAAATCACAATGACTAAAATTAAAATGTCATTTGAAATTTATTGCTTTTAAGTAAAACCCTTCTTCAATAATAATCTTGGTGAGTATGGGATCCCTGTGGATGGAAACCAGGAGTTGAAGCCCAAAATGCCCGTCCCATTCGTGCCAGCCCTCTGGCCTTAGAGTTTGACCCAAATATGACTTCATAATTATAATTAGGGATATTTTTAGAAATGTCACATGAACTTATACATCAGTTTCAATTTGTCACTTTAAAGAAAAATTTAAGCAAAATGTCACCTTAAGTTTTCAAAATCCATGATTTGTCACCTGACTTTAACATCATCCCATTTTCAATCCATTTTGAAGGGTATTTTAATTTTTCCAATATGTAAACCCTTTTTTTTTTTATATAATTTAAATATAAAGCTATGTAAACTCTTTTGCTTGGAAAAACTAAAACACCCTTCAAAATGGATGGAAAATTAGATGATGTTAAAGTCATGTGACAAATCATGGATTTTGAAAACTTAAGGTAACATTTTGTTTACATTTTTCTTTAATGTGATAAATTGAAACTGATTTATAAGTTCAATGGACATTTCTACAAAAATCCCTTATAATCCACGAGGCCAGCCCAAGAAAGTCTCCTAAAAACGAAGAATGACTCCCCACGTGGACCAAGGCAGAAATTGGCGTTGCGCATTGGAGATTCCAAGTGAGGCTTTCTCAGGACCACTGAACTTCAACTTTGGAGAGAGTCCAACTGCTTATAATATTATTAACAGACGTATTTGGAATAGGCAGAACATGGTCATGATCGTGATCATGATGCAGAGTAAGAGTTTTTTCCTTCTTCTTATTTTAATATGATGCGGACAAAAATATTGGGAGTCCTTTTTATGTGACAGGCAAGTTTATCTCCTTTTTGACCGGGTATTATTGTGGCTGGCTGCTTTTAGAGATAATGAAGGGGCATATATAGCATAGTAGCATGCATGAGGGAGCACGGCAGAGAGAGCGAAGAACCAGGCAAGGGAAAGTCAGTGAGGAAAAACAGCTCAGAGAGTGAGAGAGAAGTTGAGTTTGTGCAGTGCTGTGAGCAAGAGGGTATTTTCTCTTGGGGTGACAGTCATCTTCATGGTTTTACACTGTTCTATTGGCAGTGTAAAAGTGGAAAGCGAAGCTAAGGGGAACCACGTGGCCCTCGCCCCGAGTTCAGTTTTCATGTTTCCATTTCTCCTGTTTCCGTCTTATTTTGCTTAACATTCCACAAAGCACTGTTAACTTTGAAGTAAATTTAAAAAAATAAAAACTCAAAATTGAAGTAAAAGATAAAACGCAGTAGGCAGTAACCACCCAAGCATTCCAGAACATGATGCAGGGAAATGGGAGACAGCTTTCACGTGTGGCCCCCTTCTTGTCTTTAGATTTTTGTGGTCGAAGGCCCCTTCTTGTCTTGCTGTGGAATTTGGGGAGCCTCGACGAATAAAACTTGCCTGTTACATAAGGGCTTCCCCAGCTCAGGAAGAACGGACACCTAATATTTTAGCCACATCATATTAAAAGATTATATCCTTTTCGACCAGGTATTATTGTGGCTGCCAGCTCAGTATCTCCTTATTTGACGGGCAGTTCATCTCGCTTTTGACCGGGTATTGTTGTGGCTGCCTTTGGGCATGTGGCTGGCTGCTTTTCGAGATAAAAATCGGCTTCTCCTTTGGCTATATATAACTTATAGGATGAATAATACTTATTCTACATTTGTGTATGCTTGGATTAAGATTAAATTTTTATATATTTTTTAATATATATATATATATAGGGTCTACAGTAACTTGAGTTTGTGCTCATTAGAGCGTCTACAGTAACTTGCGTTTGTGCTCACAGTCACAGATTATCAAAAGCAATGCTATGCCATGACGGTTGGTGGCGTCGTCCAAGGTTTTTTTGAGTCTGACGTGGCGTCTCTTTTGACTAGGTTTGGCGGATGTTTAAATCCCATAGGCGCTCGAACGCGCGTTTCTTGTTCGTGCTTTCCAAATGGGGGCTGCGTGACTGCGTTGTTGCACGTGCTTTGTAGGAGCGTGAGAGTGTGCTTCTGTGGTGGTTGGTGCTTCTGTTATTTACGATTTTGACACCTGTCCACCACCTAAATAACGAATACGCGATGTCCTTTCACGTACAGTGTCCTGCGTTTCTAGATTCTAGGGTCAAGAATTATAAACCAAAATGGCTTCCTTCCCTCTCCCTTGGACCCAATCTGTCCCTTTATCGGCTGCAGTCTCACTCACTGAATAAGAGCCCAACTAACTCATCATGTGGTGGAAGAACAAAAAGAACAAAAAATCCAGGCAGCCGATTGAGCCGGAGACGCCCATCGAAGCCAGATCCTCCTCCTCTGTCCCAACAGAAGACCGTCCTCACTCCGTCAATTCCCTCACCAACTTCTCCTCCAACTCCTCCACCTCCTCCGCCGCCTCCCTCAAATCTCACATCAAATCCTCCCTCCCCGAAAACCCCATCATCTACGACATGTCGGATATCCGCCACGCTTTATTCAGCCTCCGCCGTGGCTCCTCCTCCTCCTCCTTCCGCCGCTCCCTTTGCGGCAAAGACGTCGTCATTTTCCAGCGCAAGTACGGCCTCCCCCTCCCCATCTCCGACTCTGACCTCCACCAGCGCCTCACCCAGATCTCCAAATCCCACCACACCAGCCTCATCAAGCTCCTCGGTGCCTCCCTCTCCGGCTACTACGTCTACCTCGTCTACGAATACGTCCCCGGCGCCAACCTTGCCGACTGCCTCCGCAACCCTAACAACCCCTACTTCACCGTTTTGTCCACGTGGCTCTCCCGCATGCAGGTCGCGGCCGACCTCGCCGATGGCCTCAATTACATGCACCACTCGTCCGGCGACAACTCCACCTTCGTCCACAACCACATTAAATCCTCCAGCATCATCATCTCCGAGCGGAAAAACCTCCCGCTCAGAGCCAAGATCTGCCATTTCGGCACCGCCTGGCTCTGCTGTGAGACACAGGCTCTGTCCTCGACGGTGGAGGCCACCAGAGTGTACATGGCCCGAGTCTCAGCTGACGCACAAGTGCGATGTCTATGCCTTCGGGGTTGTGCTTCTGGAGTTGATTTCAGGGGAGGAGCCATTGATGGACGGCAATGGAGGAGGAGGTGGAGGAGGGTGTAGGAGGGTGAGTGTGATCGAGACGGCGAGGGAGGCTGTGAGTAGCGGCGGCGGGGTGAGGAGGTGGGTGGATCGGAGGTTGAAGGACTCATTTCCGATGGAGGTGGCAGAGAAGATGGTGAAGGTGGCGTTGGAGTGTGTGGAGGAGGATCCGGACAGCCGACCCGACATGGGTCGGGTTGCGGGTTTGGTTTCGAAGCTGTTTTTGAAGTCGGAGAGTTGGGATAAGAAGATGGGCCCGCCTATTGACATGACAATTTCATTGGCCCCTCGGTGATATTACTATATTGGTTCAATTTCGGTTGAACAAATTGTGAATAGGGAAGTTGTGTGTGGGATTGGGGATGTGTATATATTTGTATTATACTTGATTTGATGCTGTGAACAATTTGACATACGAGAAACTTACTGAGAACAGAACAGAAACACCACAAGTTTTATTGATATCTTTGTTGACATACGTGGCTACCTTTTCTAGCAAGTCAATATCCAAAATCTTACTTGACATGAAGTTGTTTGAACTATGTAAAGAGCCAATGGCTACAGTCAAGTCGTGGGGCTTTGCGGGGCTAGATGTGGTCGCGGCGAGGGAATGCTGCCATCCGTGAAGGTTTGATATTGGCAGTTGGGGTTCAATAGTATTTTGGTGACCGCTAATTCGAAGGAAGTTGTTTAGTTGAGGATATTAGACGGCTCTCAATTGAATATTGGTGAGACGTTCTTTCAACCGAGACAAGGCAATGGGGCGTAGCTCATGCTATAGCTCAATATGGATTAAGGGGACAAAATCAATGTCACTGACATGGGAATGCTCAATTGAATAAGGGAATGCTGGAATCAGATATTGAGGGGGTAATTGCTTTTGTTTGGCTGTATTGGATGTCGTAGTATACTTTTTTATTGACCGGATTTTCTTCATAAGTTGGAGTTTTTTAAGGCAAGATTTTAACAATCGTTGCATCCATCATTTCTGGAAATTACATTATTATTTGTAATTGGTTTCTATTGAATGAAGTTCTTCCATTTTGATATATTTTTTTAAAAGTAAATTTATGTTTTAACCACAAAAAAAACTTTCACTTTTGGAAAAAGCCAAAGCTTTTTCAAAAAAGAAAGAAAAACCTCTCAACTTTCAAATCAAATACATGCAAATATAAAGAATTCCTTAGAAAATCCAAAAATAAATAAGGGCAATTTTGTCCGTTTCGGCTTCTTTTCAAAAATTTCTCTCTCCTTTGGGTTCTTCCAAAGTTTCCTTTGGATTTTTAAAGTCTTCGGTCTTGGCTATTTGTGGAAAGATATACCTCTTAAGTTTAAGAGCAAAAATATAATTTCCATTTTGACCGACTCAGCAAACTGGATAATAATTATGAATAATGCTACTCTTACCACATTTGTATACCACATCTTTATACCATCTTATGTGGCAGCTGAGGTGAACAGCCACATCAATTAAAATTATTTGATATTTTCTTTTATTTTATGATTTATTCAAGTATTTATTTTTCTAATTGCCTTAATTAAAATACACTTCATTGATTTAATTGATGTGGCATATAATATAGATATGTCACATCATGTGGTATAGAAATGTGGGATAAAAATGTGGTAAGTGTAGCATTACTCAATAATTATTATACTAGGCATTGTTATCTGTACAAGTATTCAAGTATTATTCTGCGCACACCTAGTAAGAATCCATGCTATACCTCTGGGGTTCACTCCAGCATGTGCAATGCTTATCGAATTTTATAATGCATAATTGCATATAACAACTATTCTTCACAACTTGACATCCAGATACTCCATTACCATGGGGCTTTTGCTTTCATACGCACCCAAAAGCATCATGCCTCTCTCTCTTACCAAAAGCTCCAGTTTCAGCTCATTTTCCACCGCCAGAAAAACCACCCAGAAAATTGTTCCAATTCCAAGGTAGGTTCTTTCTTCAATATCATGTGGATCTGATTTTCAATAGATTAGATTATGTTTTCTGAATCAGAGTTGAAACTTGTCTGTGATTTTATCTAGATTGCTTTGACTTTTCGGATTGATTGATTTTCAATCGATAATTTTAATGGGTTTTGAACTCGTGTGCAGTTCGAAGCAGTAACAACAAGGTTGTATTTTTCATTAATACTATGTCTTAATTTTGATCAGTGAGATCAGTGGCCGCTCCCGGGTTCGGTGACACGGTTCTGGGACTCAGAGAAAGTATATATTACTTGTTAGGTGGGAAGTCACTTGCTGTAAAATTCGCTAATAATGGGCATCCCACTCCTTGAGTGATTCCTTTGCTCAGGTTTGAAACATTCTTACTTATTAGTGTTTTAAAGTATCACATTTCTTTCCCTGCAAAGTTGAACTTAACCGGTTGTAATGTGTATTCGTGTATGTGCGCAAACATATCATAGTTATGCATGTTATCTTGTCCTATTGGATTTGGCTGGAGGGACATTGTTTTTTCGCTCTTGAGGTGTGTGGGGTTAGCTTTGTATATGAGTAAATGCTATTTTTCTTCACGTATTTCTGTTTCCAGTATTTATTTGATGAGATGACCTTACAATGATTCATTGGTTGTCAATGTTTCTCATGATGGTGTTGTAATCTTATACGTAGTACTATGTAATCAAGATAAGGAAATCTAGAATCCAAATAAACTCTAAACAGATAAGAAAACTCATAATCAAGCATGGGGTTAGGGCTTCAGAGAATCTCACCTCGGGATTGTCACTGAGCATTCATCTTCGAAGCAATAGGGCTATAGCAATTGTCTTCTAGCGAATGAGGAGCTGGAGTTCTTGAATGGTCCAATGAGAGTGAAACCAGAGATTGTGAGAGAGGGAGATGGAGAAATACATCAAAGAGAGAGAGAGAGAGAGAGAGAGATAGAGAGAGAGAGAGAGAGGTGATTGTTCTGGTTTGAAGAGAAAAAACGAGGGGAAAAAAGAGATATACTTTTAGGGCGTACGAAGTTGCTCCCATAATATTTTCTAAAAAAGTATTTATGATTCACGGCGTATATATAAGCACGCTCTACCTTTTTAAGGGGTTCTTTGTAATATATGTTGTAAGTATCAATTATTCACGACGCGCACGAAAAGCGTACAGTAATCTCAATCAGTAAAAGCTCCAATTTGATGTAGTGAGTGTACATAGTTAAACTAATAGCTATAACACAGATAAACCCTAAGAAGGCAAGGGAAGAATTCCGTAATCTAAGTCAGCTTTAATGGTGTAACAGGAGTCAAAGATTTCATGGATGGTATGGGCCTTGGGATGCTTGCGGAACAGGTAAAAATTTTATTTGGAGATATTGGCATTGGAACTTGAGTTGTTGTTATCATCTTTTGATCCTATTTTTAGGTGTTATGGATGTCCTTAAGCCTTTAAAGCCCTAACTGATATGTAGCACACTTTATGATCTATGGTAATCATCCACATATAGGAGCCCTAAAAGGAGTATCAATATGGATTCACTTATGCTTTATAGTGATCCTTGCTTCTCTTTAACCCTTATATGTTTTTTTTTTCTTTTTAATGGTTGAAGTTAGGAGAGTTAAAACTGGTAGAATTACTATACACACCTCCTGGTTTGGATGAAGCTAGGGTTACCAACATGCACAAAATATTTTTTGCTCTTCTATTAATGTTTAATCCCCTTTCCAGGTGAGCAAATATTGATGCTGTTTTTGTCACCTTAATTATTATTATTTAGTTAGAATTAGGCAATATATGATATGATGCAGTTTTTGTCACCTCAACATTGCCAGACTTTTTTGGATGCATCAATTGGCAAGATATTGATGTCAACTTAGAATGAACAACTATGGATTGGCTAGTCTCAAATGAATTTAAGCGTTCTTACCTGTGTAGGCATGTTTGCTACTAATTGCTTGTTCCCTTATTCAGATGAAACATAAGATATCTTCAGCCACCTCTCAGCTATCAAATCTGTCTTTGGGCAAGAGCAACCTCAACTGGGCATAGTAAGCGTGATGCTTTGAGCCGCTTTTATACTCTGCTTCCTAGAAAAGTATGCTAACCTTTTTAAATCTAAAACTTCAATGCAGGCTGACAAATTAGAGTGCCTCAGAGAGACGATCATTAAAGTGCGTGAGCTTTTCCACGAAACTGATTCCACAGAGTTTGTCATAGTAACAATACCCCGGTAAGATCTTTGCAAATGTGATCCTTGCTTCTCCTTAACCTTTGTGTGTTTCTTTTTAATGATGGTTGAAGTTAGGAGAGTGAAAACTGGGATAATTACTAGACACATCTCCTCCTGATTTGGATGAAGCTATTGTAATTTCCAAGGTATGTCTTTTCTGGCTTGCCAACAAGGGCAAAATCTTTTTTGCTTTTCTAGTAGTTATTACTAGTTATTACTTTTAAGCTTGAATTAGTTCACTATGATGGGATATTGCTGAAGGAAGTTGAGGTTTCACCCCAAAATCAATTGGCAATGGGGGGAAGTAGCCCAACTCTTTATAAGCCTAGGTTTCTCAACGTTCTAATGTTGGACTTTTTACCTTCACATTCTTACAATTGTAAACAGGGTCACACATTGCTAGACTTTTTAGATGCATCAATTGGCAAGATATTGAAGGTAATAATTAATGATGTCAACTTAGAATGAACAACTTTCTGGATGCACTTTGCAAATGTTGTGTTTGTTTAAGCTGTAATTTAATATGTTATGAGTTCACTTTGATAGAGATATCAGTTTACTTGTGAGAATCCTTATTCTTAAAAATGTTAATATTTTATTTTGGTAAGTATTAAAAATTATAATTATTTTATGAAAGTATATGTTTTATTTAATGCAAATTCAATAATTTTGATGATATTCTTAAAACATGCTTTTAATATTTAATTCTATTCAATGGTAGTAGGATTTTTGTCCTTAGCTATCTAGAGTTTCATGCATGGTTATGTAATTGAGTTAATACACTCCACGTAGTTAGCATGTGTCAATCAAATATGCATTATTATTATTCTATTATATATATATATGTATATGTACATATAAAATATTACGTGCTATACTTTTATAAATATTATCACTAATAAATATATACTTTAGTAATTATATACGTTTTATTTTGGAATCTATGATATTAATGATAAATAAGTGTTTTATTATTATTTATTTGATATGTACATAATTCATTTGATATATGCATGCTTATCTTCCTCCAAAATTATTGTGTGGTGTTAAAGTTTTCTATTAGTTATCATGTTTTGCTGTCAAAACATGTGGTGCCTTCATATTAAGTTAAGTGTGAGTAAGCAAGAAAATTGCTATAGCTTTTCAAATTGGTTACGCCATGTAAGCAAGAGGTGGAACTTTAAGTTTTCCTCTTATTGACACATCTTCTAGCATGCAATTATTTAATAAAGTTTTTGATAGACTTTTCAGCTTTGGCTGGAACAAAAAGGTTATTGTTATCCTTTAGTAAACTGCCAATTACTTCATCCAATAGAAGTAAAGGTGTAGCCGACATTCCTTTAGTATAAATAGGAATGCAATTCTTTCATTTTTAACGCACGGCATGCATGGTTTGAATGAGAAAACCATAAGAGTTAAGAAAGAGAAATACTAGTGAGAGAGAGAATTTGAGTGTGGATACGGTGGAAATTAGGGAGTCGTCTTACAATTCTAGCAAAAGAGGGGAATTATGGGATGGTTGAAATGGGTGTTAGTTCATATATATGGGCATTCGGGACCAAGTGGTATAAGCATGGTATGGGACGTGCAGGTCTGCTTGTCCAATTATATGAATTAACGGGGGTAGATGAAGAGCATTCATGCATTATTATTATTAATGTGATATTTGGCTATATGATTGCATATCACCTAATTTAGTTATATCAATCTACTGTGGTAAGGTCTCATATCCCTACTGAGCTACGGTTGCTCACCCCTCACCCTATTTAATTTTTCAGATGAATTAGTAGGCAAGACGATGACTAAATTGATTAAGGCTGAATTAGAGGAAAGTAGTAGAGCTTTATTTATTAATTGTAAAGTTGTAAGATTTTGGAGCTATTTTTATAAGAGAAGTTTATTTTAAACTCATATTTCGGCATCTTTTTATTTTATTTTAGTTATTTTATTTTCTCACGCACCGGGCATAGGGATTTCCACCAACCCCCGAGTTCGGGGCGTGACAACAACCCTCTTCTCCAATGAACCCTAAACCCAATTTCCCCTTTGTTACAAACTGAGAAACCCTTATTCGAGTATTTCCTATTTTTTCCTTCCTAGCAGCTAGCATCATTTGCTTGGAAGTTGGCTAAATATGTTCAATGTTCACAATTTTTCGTATTTTTAGGGTTTTAATGTTATGTGAGAAAATAATAAGCATGAATACAAATGACAAGAAATCGAAAATAGTTAGAATAAAATGACTAAATATAAAGAATTTTGGAAGGCAAAAAGAATAGGCTTGTCTGGTTGGATCTTGGAAGGCAATTTCCTCTGGTCCTTGAATAACTTGATTGTAGCATATTGTATTTCCTTGTAAAGATATGGATAGTCTCAAATGAATTGAAGCATTCTTACCTGTGTAGGCATGTTTGCTACTAATTGCTTTTTCTCTTATACAGCTTAAACATAAGATATCTTCAGCCACCTCAGCTATCAAATCTGTCTTGGGCAAGAGCAACCTCAACTGCGTGCAGTAAGCGCATGATGCTATGAGCTGCTTTTATACTTTGCTTCCTAGACAAGTATGCTAACCTTTTTAAATCTAAAACTTCAATGCAGGCTGACAAATTAAAGCGACTCAGAGAGACGATGATTAAAGTGTGCGAGCTTTTCAGCGATACTGATTCTACAGAGTTTGTCATATTAACAATACCCACGGTAAGATATTTGCAAACATGATTTGATATATTATAACTTCCCTTTGATAGAGATCAGTTTACTTGATTTATATTCTACAATGTAGAATTTAATCTTGTAAAAATATGGATCCCTGCATATTGTATTTCCTGTTTTTTCCTTCCTAGCTAGCGTCATTTGCTTGGGAGTTGGCTAATAAGTTGATGAAGTGATCTGACATAGAGTCAGGATCAGGATGTAATCATGAAGTAGATGTTTGCTTATAATGGGCAGTTGAACTTAACTGGTTGCAATGTGTATTCGTGTATGTGCACAAACATATTATCATTATACATGTTATCTTGTCCTAGGATTTGGCTGGAGGGACACTTTTTGGTGTTGAGGTGTGTGGGGTTAGCTTTCTATATGAGTAATTGCTAATTTTCTTCACGTATATATTTTTGTTTGCGGTATTTATTTGATGGGATGACCTTACAATGATTAATGTTTCTTAGGATGCTTTTGTAATCTTATACATAGTACTATCTAATCAAGATAAGGAAACCTAGAATCCTAATCAACTCTAAATTGAGATAAGAAAACTCAGAACCAAACATTGGGTTATGGCTTTAGAGAATCGCACCTTGGGACTGTCACTGAGCATTCATATCTAGGGCTCGAGCAGTAGTCTTCTAGCGAATGAGGAGCTGGAGCTCTTGAATGGTCCATCGCAGCCAGAGATTGTGTGAGAGATGGAGATGGAGAAAGACGTCAAAGAGAGAGAGAGAGAGAGAGAGAGAGGTGAACGTTTTTGTCTGAAGAGAACAAATGAGGGAAAAAGAAAAGAGAGATATTTTTAGCCAGTTGCAAATAGAATTAGGGCGTACGTTGAAAGACACAAAAAATTACATTTTTAAAGGGTGCTTTGTAATATGTCGTAAATATCAATTATTCACCGCGTCCACAAAAAACTGTTATGTAAATCTCAAGCCGTAAAAGCTCCATTTTGGTGTAGTGAGTGTACGTACTTATACTAATAGCTATACAACAGATACACCCTGAGAAGGCAAGGAAAGAATTCCGTAATGTCGGTCAGCTTTAATGGTGGAACAGAAGCCAAAGATTTCATGGATGGTATATGGTCCTTGGGATGCTTGCAGAACAGGTAAAGGTTTTATTTGGAGATATTGGTATTGCAACTTTTATGCTCACATTATGATCTATAGATTCACTTATGCTTTATGGTGATCCTTGCTTCTCTTTAACCTTTGTGTGTTTCTTTTTAATAATGGTTGAAGTTAGGAGTGAAAACTGGGATAATTACTAGACACATCTCCTCCAAGTTTGGATGAAGCTATTGCAATTTCCGAGGTATGTCTTTTCTGGCTTGCCAACATGCACAAAATCTTTTTTGCTCTTCCTGTTTATGTCACCTTAATCACCTCAATATTCCCAGGCTTTTTTGGATGCATCAATTGGCAAGATATTGATGTCAACTTAGAATGAACAACTATGGATTGGCTAGTCTCAAATGAATTTAAGCATTCTTACCTGTGTAGGCATGTTTTCTACTAATTGCTTGTTCTCTTATACAGCTTAAACAGAAGATATCTTCAGCCACTCAGGTCAGCTATCAAATCTGTCTTTGGGCAAGAGCAACCTCAACTGGGAGCAGTAAGGCTGATGCTTTGAGCTGCTTTTATACTCTGATTTCTAGACAAGTATGCTAGCCTTCTAATTTTAAACTTCAATGCAGGCTGACAAATTAGAGTGACTCAGGGCGATACTGATTCCCCAAAGTTTGTCATAGTAACAATACCCACGGTGATGGCAGTCAGTGAGTCATCTAGGTTGCATGCCTCTTTGAAAAAAAAAAGATAAGTTGATGAAGTGATCTTAAACATAGATTGAGATCAAGATGTAATCATGAAGTATAGGGCTTATCATTTTAGTTCAATTTTCAATTTTATATATGTGATGAACTCTGCATAGATTGCATTAAGATCAACAGTGTGTGTTGGGAAATTGGGTTAGACTTTGTTCACTGCCAAACCCTAAACCAAATCTCCTATAAGATACATCCTATAAAACCCTGGTGCAAATGGGACACTGTAAAGGAATCGACCTTGGACGCCTGGGTAAAGATATGATAGCCAGGTCACTTGACCCGGTTTGAAACCGAGGTACCTGGGCCATTGTTCATGTACTCAGCATAAAACAGAGTGCTTAGAGATTTCCCATTCCACTCCAGCAAACCCTCTGGCCTTATAACGTTACTCATAGATGACTTCATGATCACGGTACGTGCATATTTGCCCCAAGGTCGACCCAAGTAGGTGGGACGGGGATTTTTGCCATCCCACTGAGGCTTTCTTCGGACCACTAAACTCCAACTCTGGAGATTCCAACTGCTTATAATATTATTAAGAGACATATTAGGAAAAGGCAGAACATGGTCATGCTCATGATCATGATCATGATCATGATGCAGAAATAAGAGTTTTTTTCTTATTTTAATATGATGTGGACAAAAATATTGGGTGTCCTTTTTATTGGCTGGGGATGCCAGCTCAGTCGCCCCATATGTGACAGGCAAGTTTATCTCCTTTTTGACAGGGTATTATTGTGGCTGGCTGCTTTTAAAGATGATGAAGGGGTATATATATAGCATATTAGCATGCATGAGGGAGCACGGCAGAGAGAGCAAAGAACCAGGCAAGGGAAAGGCAGTGAGGAAAAACAGCTCAGAGGGTGAGAGAGAACTTGAGTTTGTGCAGTGCTGTGAGCAAGAGAGGGTATTTTCTCTTGGGGTCAGAGTCATCTTCATGGGTTAGACGGATTATAAAAAGTGCGTGTAAGGAGTGCATTCTATTGGATATGAGGTCGGATTTGGGTACAAAACTATTGAGTGGTTATTTTTGTACGTACTTGTATTTTTCTTTTGTTATAGTGAAAGCGATAACTCACCAGAGACATAAGCAGAATTTTGCTTAATTTTATAAATTCTCCTTGGGTATCTATATATATAAAGCAAAAAGCAGAGAATGGTGAAACATTCAAAATACCAGAAAATGCCCTTAGTTAATGCAAACATTAAGAATTGAAATTATTAATTAAATGAGGATAATATGGTAAATTCACACTTTTTCATATTAAAAAAATTAAAATTAAAAGAAAAATCAGATAATTGATCCTATTTTTATGGAACACAACTACCCATTATCTTTTTTAATTCTAAGATAAATTTAAAAATTTCTAAAAAAGACCTCTCGAAGGCGCGGAAGCGCATGAGGAGAGGTTAGTTTTTATTGTGCTCAATTGTGGTTTGTTCGGTGGTGCTAGCACAACAAGAGGAGCAAAGATGGACAATAAAGTTGTTCTTGAATTTGGCAGTGTAAAAGTGAAAGCAAAGCTAAAGGGAAAGTCTCAAATCACACTCGTTTTAGGCGTTATAAAACCAAGTTGCCCTTGCCATCGAGTTCAGTTTTCATGTTTCCATTTCCCCTGTTCCCACCCTATTTCTATCTTTGTTTAACATTCCACAAAACACTGTTAACTTTGAAGTTAAATTTTTTTTTAAAAAAAAAAAAACTCAAAATTGAAGTAAAAGATAAAACACAGTAGGCAGTAGCCACCCAAGCACCCACCCACCGGACCTAAACCGCCACCACCAGAACCACCCGGTGGCAATCCTTTTTAGTGTCATATATGCAATTATGGAGGGCGTTGTTGTCTTGGGATTGCATTGATTTGGGAATATCCATGCCATGAGGAATATTTTTGGGACATGTGATGAACAACTTTCATATTAAATTAAAAATAAACTATAGTATTTATGACTCTCCAATCAAGGAGTATGATTGGAGTTCAAATTTTACACAGAGCTCATAAAAGAATTTTTATGTATTTTTTGCTAAATTTTAACTTAAAAAATAGATAGCATGATTGTAGATGCTCTTACATTTGTTTTTTAGAATTAAAAACTGGCATTCCAGAACATGATGCAGGAAAATGAGAGACAGCTTTCACGTGTGGCCTCTTCTCGTCTTTTGTTTTTTGGGGTCAAAGGCCCCTTCTTCTTGTCTTACTAAGGAATTTGGGGAGCCTCGACGAGAAAAACTTGCATGTTACACAAGGGCTTCCCCAGCCAATAAAAAACAGACACCTAATATTTTATCCACATCATATTAAAAGATTATCTCCTTTTGGGGTTCTGAGCGCTCTGAGTGTCAAGGGCTGGGGCGTAATAGTTGGGTTTGGTAGGGTGGGTGCTGAAGCTTCCGGGAGGTCACTGAAGGTTGTCCATGACTGGTTGACAGGGCCACGCTTGGAGTTAAAGTATTCAGCATTGGCGTGGATGGTCGCTCACTTCATTAATTCGGTATAGGTATTCCACGGGTTGCTGTGGATCAGGTATTTGAAGTTGGATTCACGAAGGCCACTCTTGAAGATGCCGAAGGCAGCACGATTGTCTGTCTCTAGGCAGCGGGAATACTCGTGGCTAAAGCGGGTGGCATACTCTTGCAGGAGTTTGTCTTCACCTTGCTGAAGCATATATAGATTGTCCGTCGAGTATAAACGATCAGTCTGAATCATGAAATGATCGAGGAAAGTCTACTTGAGGTTATCGAAAGAGTTGATAGTGCGAGGGTTCAGCCGGTAAAACTAGTTCAAAGCGGTGCCATTGAGGGTGGAAGGGAAAAAGAAGCACATGCTTTCATCATTGAGACCCTTGCACCCCAAGGCATACTGAAAAGAATGCATGTGGGTCAGGTGTAAGATCCCACATCGACCAACGGAGAGGGGGTGATGTGCCTTATATGTACATGCTCACTTTCATCTAGCGCGAGGCCTTTTGAGAGCTCACTAGTTTCGGAGTCGTGGGAACTCCAAAGTTAAGCAAGTTTGGGCTAGAATAATCCCAAGATGGGTGACCCACTGAGAAGTTGCTCGTGAGTTCCCATAAACAAAACCGTGAGGGCAATGGGGGCCTAAAGCGGACAATATTGTGCTACAACGGAGCCGATCTAGGATGTGATAATTCTCATGTATTTTCAACATAGATAAAAGAAATTGGGATTTGTTAGGCTTAAGTACCACGATTTGTAGGCCCATGGGCAGCTTGGCTCGGCCACGATTTGAAAGAATATAATGACCCATTTAATATTAACAATGATATATTGCATTTCATACCCTTTTAAATGTAAACTAGTATTGACCCATGGGTTTACCTCAGTGTTGAGGTTCCTCGCCCTTCCTCTCCTTGGTCACCTATTTGAATTTCAGGAAAATGCCCCCTCTCCAGTGTCCCAATTCTCTACAAAAAGGAAGTAAACTAGTATTAATGATCCCATTTTACATGCCTAGTTAGGAGATTGAAAGACCACCTTATGAGTAAATAGGAAGACAAATAAAAATAAAGAAGAGAGAGAGAGAAGGGATTGAAGCAAGAATTTATTTTTTTTTATAAAAGAAACACAGAGAGAAGAGAGAAGGAAAGGAAAGAAAAAGGAAGAATAAAAAAATTAGATTAATTAGAGTACGTGGGGCATTATGAGTTTGTCTTTTATGTTTTTTTTTTTTTAGTCAAATACCATCCTCCATTACATTATTATTGATTGCGCTTGGAAGACGAAAACATATGTGAGACATTCCACAGAGAGAGAGAGCGAGAGAGAGAGAAAAGAGACAGTTTAAATGTGTATTTGAAAGTAAAATACATTTCTTAAATATTTTATTACTCGAGAAAAGTGGAAAGTTTAGCTGTCAAGGACAATAAAGTAGTTTTATATTTATTATATTTAAATCATATGTAATCAACAAATTCAGATGCGAGAGAGTAAACACAATAATGGTGACAAGCAAGCAAAACCATTGGCCCTTGAAATGTTTATTGCTTTCCAAATCTGGAAGGGGGGCTTCTTACTTACCCAAAAAATAAAAAAACAAAAAAATATGGAATGGGGGCTACGTAACTGCGTTGTTGGGGAAAGTTAGTACACGCGCTTCGTAGGAGCGTGAGAGGGTGCTTTGAACACCTTTTCCCTCTGTCTCAACATCTGTCCACGTATGTAACACCCACTTAACACCGTACGTGAATGTTTCTATTCTAGTTGGTCATGTGTTATTAACCACAAAATAAAAAATAAAAAATAAAATTGGTCTTGGACTCTTGTGATTCTAGATTCTATGAAATTTGTTATCGCCAATCTGGATTTTTTGTTGATTAGGTCAAGAATCTTGGATTTAGCAAACAAACCAAATGGTATTGTTTCCAAGTTCGCTCTTCCTTTTCACGCTCTCTACTACTCCTCCTTACTCAGCTCTGTCCACAAAGAACCAAGTTCCAACTCATCATGTGGAAGTTGCGGTGGAAGAACAAAAAGGGCAGGCTGGCGATTGAGCCGGCGAGCCCCATCGAAGCTAGATCCTCCTCCTCTGGTCCAACAGAAGACCGTCCTCACTCCGCCAATTCCCACACCAACTTCTCCTCCACCTCCTCCACCTCCTCCGCCTCCTGCTCCTCCCTTAAATCTCACATCAAATCCTCCCTCCCCGAAAACCCCCTCATCTACAACAAGTCGGATATCCACGACGCTTTATTAAGCCGCCTCCCCGGCTTCTCCCGCCGCCGTTCCCTTTGCGGCAAAGACGTCGTCATTTTCCAGCGCCAGTCCGGCCTCCCACTCTCCTACTCCGACTCCGACTCCGACTCCGACTCCGACCTCTACCACCGCCTCTCCCAGATCTCCAAATCCCACCACACCAGCCTCATCAAGCTCCTCGGTGCCTCCCTCTCCGGCCCCTACATCTACCTCGTCTACGAATACGTCCAGGGCGCCAACCTTGCCGACTGCCTCCGCAACCCTAACAACCCCGAATTCACTGTTTTGTCCACGTGGCTCTCCCGCATGCAGGTCGCCGCCGACGTCGCCGATGGCCTCAATTACATGCACCACTCGTCCGGTGACAACTCTGTCCACAACCACATCAAATCCTCCAACATCATCGTCTCCGAGCAGAAAAACCTCCAGCTCAGAGCCAAGATCTGCCATTTCGCCACCGCCGCTCTCTGCTGCAAGACACAGTCTCTGTCCGCGACGGTGGAGGGCACCAGAGTGTACATGGCGCCCGAGGCGCAGCTGACGCACAAGTGCGATGTTTATGCCTTCGGGGTTGTGCTTCTGGAGTTGATTTCAGGGGAGGAGCCATTGATGGACGGCAATGGAGGAGGAGGTGGAGGAGGGTGTAGGAGGGTGAGTGTGATCGAGAAGGGGAGGGAGGCTGTGAGTAGCGGCAGCGGGGTGAGGAGGTGGGTGGATCGAAGGTTGAAGGACTCCTTTCCGGAGGAGGTGGCGGAGAAGATGGTGAAGGTGGCGTTGCAGTGTGTCAAGGAGGATCCGGACAGCAGACCCGACATGGGTCGGGTTGCTGGTTGGGTTTCGAATCTGTTTTTGGAGTCGGAGAGTTGGGAAAAGGAGATGGCCCCGCCTATTGACATGACAATTTCATTGGCCCCTCGGTGATATTTCTATATTGGTGAATAGTAAGTTATTGTGAATAGGGAAGTTATTGTGTGTGGGATTGGGGATGTGTTGTGAACAATTTGACATACTAGAAACTGACTGAGAACAATTTGATATACTTGTATCTTACTTGAAATGAAGTTGTTTGACCTATGTAAAGAGCCAATGGCTACAGTCAAGTCATGGGGCTTTGCGACGTTGTGTGCTGCCATCCGTGAAGGTTTGATATTGGCTGTGCAGTTGGGGTTCAATGGTATTTTGGTGGCCACTGATTCGAAGGAAGTTGTTTAGTGGAGGATATTAGACGGCTCAATTGGATATTGGTGAGAGGTTCTTTCAACCAAGACAAGGCAATGGGGTAGCTCATGCTCTAGCTCAATATGGATTAAGGGAACAAAATCAATGTCACTGACAACAAGGGAATCCTCAATTGAATAAGGGAATGCTCACTTGTATGAGGTTTTTTAAGGCAAGATTTTAACGATGGTTGCATCCATCATTTTCATTACTATTTGTAATTGGTTTCTATTGCAACCATCATTTTCATTACTATTTGTAATTGGTTTCTATTGAATGAAGTTCTTCCATTTTGCTTTTTTATTTATTTTAAAAAAGTTTAAAATAATTATTATATCTGCGCATACCTCTGGGGTTCACTCCAACATGTGCATAATGCTTAATTTTATAATGCATAATTGCATATAACTTGACAGCCAGAAACTCCATTACCATGGGGCTTTTGCTTTCATACGCACCCAAAAGCATCATGCCTCTCTCTCTTAGCAAAAGCCCCAGTTTCAGCTCATTTTCCACCGCCAGAAAAACCACCCAGAAAATTGTTCCAATTCCAAGGTAGGTTCTTTCTTCAATATCATGTGGATCTGATTTTCAATAGATTAGATTATGTTTTCTGAATCATAGTTGAAACTTGTCTGTGATTTTAGCTAGTTGCTTTGACTTTTCGGATCGATCGATTTTCAATCGATAATTTTAATGGGTTTTGAACTCGTGCGGTTCAAAGCAGTAACAACAAGGTTGTATTTTCATTTATACTATGTCTTAATTTTGGCCAGTGAGATCAGTGGCCGCTCCGGCAGAAGCTGTTTCTGGGGCTCAGAGAAAGTATTACTTGTTAGGTGGGAAGTCATCACTTGCTATGGGCATCCCCACTCCTTGAGTGATTCCTTTGCTCAGGTTTTTAAAACATTCGTACTTATTAATGTTATAAAGTATTCACATTTCTTTTCCTGCAAAGTTGAACTTAACTGGTTGTAGTGAGTATTCGTGTATGTGCACAAACATATTATAGTTATATATGTTCTTGTCCTAGGATTTGGCTGGAGGGACACTTGTACCAGTTGAAGGGCCCGAAGCTCCGGGTTTTTCTCTTGAGGTGTGTATGATTAGCTTTGTATATATTGCAAATTTCTTCGCGTATTTCTGCTTGCAGCATTTATTTGATAAGATGACCTTAAAATGATTAATCTTATACATAGTACTACGTAATTAAGGAAATCTAGAATCCCAATCAACTCTAAACTGATAAGAAAACTCAGAATCAAGCATGGGGTTAGGGCTTTATAGAATCACACCTTGGGACGTCTGTCACTAAACATTCATCTTCGAAGCAATAGGGCTTGAGCAACAGTCTTTTTGTGAATGAGGATCTGGAGCTCTTGAATGGTCCAATGAAAGTGCAGCTAGAGATTATGAGAGAGGAGATGGAGAAAGACGTCAAAGATTGAGAAAGAGAGAGGGAGACGAAGAAAGAAGTCAAAGAGATAGAGAGTGAACGTTGTGGTCTAAAGAGAAAAAACGAGGGCGAAAAAGAAAAGAGAGATATTTTTGGCTGGTTGCAAATAGAATTATGACGTACCAAAGTTGCACTTGTAATATTTTTTAAAAATATTTCTGATTCATAGCGTATATATATAGAAGCACACCGTTAAAAGACGCACAAAATTACCATTTTAAGAGATGCTTAATATGTGATATAAATATCAATTATTACCACGTACATAAAAAAAAGTGTGCCGTACATAAATATCAAGCCGTAGAATTAATCTCCAGTTTGGTGTAGTGAGTACGTTGTTAAACTAATAGCTATACCACTGATATGTTGCACACATGTGCATGCACACTTTTATGCTCACATTATGATCTATGGAGCCCTAAAAGGAGCATATCTATACCAATATAGATTCACTTATGCTTTATGGTGAATGGTGATCCTTGCTTCTCTTTAACCTTTGTGTGTTTCCTTTTAATGATGGTTGAAGCTAGGAGAGTGAAAACTGGGATAATTACTAGACACATCTCCTCCTGATTTGGATGAAGCTATTGCAATTTCCTGTTTTTGCTGGCTTTTCTGGCTTGCCAACATGCACAAAATCTTTTTTGCTCTTCTATTAATGTTTAGTCCTCTTTCGATGTGAGTAAATATTGATGCTGTTTTTGTCACCTTAGTTATTACTTTTTAGATGGAATTAGTTCACTATGATGGCATATACGTCACACATTGCCAGACTTTTTGGATGCATCAATTGCTTGGAAGTTGGCTAAATACGTTCAATGTTGGATGAAAAATTTGCTTCTCATCGATTGTTCACACTTTTTTTCTTCTTCTTCTTCTTCCCAAGGTGATGGCAGTCAGTGAGTCATCTAGGTTGCATGCCTATTTGACGAAGGAAAGTGTTCCTGTGAATCATCTAGGTTGCATGCCTATTTGATGATGGATGGTGTGGATCCGAGACTCTGACTTTCTTGTGATCAATCATAGTTAGGCTTTTCCTTGTTTTTTTAGGGTTTTAATATTACGTGAGAAAATAATATGCATGAATCAAATGACTAAACATAAAGACGAATGATCCTTGGTATCCAAGGAAGGAATTTACAACAAAATGGGAATAAATGACAACAAATCCATGCATCCTTCAGATGCCTAGTAAATTCCTTGGTTATATTGTTGTTTTTGATTTGTCTTATCCCTCTTTTACATGTTTTGCCTAAGAAACTAGCAATTCTAATCACAACCTCAATTGGCAAGATATTGATGTCAAGTTAGAATGAACAACTATGGATATGTGTGTGTCTTTTTCTTTTCGGAACAACTATGGATACGAAAAACTTAGAGTCAATTTAGATAAGAAAAAAAGAACAAAAAGAATAGGCTAGTCTGGTTGGATCTTGGAAGGCAATTTCCTTGGATCACTTGATTGTAGCATATTGTATTTCCTTGTAAAGATATGGCTCTAGTCTCAAATGAATTTAAGCATTCTTATCTGTGTAGACATATTTGCTACTAATTTCTTGTTCTCTTATTCAGCTTAAACATAAGATATCTTCAGCCACCTTTCAGCTATCAAATCTGTCTTTGGGCAAGAGCAACCTCAACTGGGCGCAGTAAGCGTGATGCTTTGAGCTGCTTTTATACTCTGCTTCCTAGACAAGTATGCTAACCTTTTTAAATCTAAAACTTCAATGCATGCTGACAAATTAGAGCGACTCAAAGTCAGAGAGACGATGATTAAATTATGTGAGCTTTTCCGCGAAATTGATTCCACAGAGTTTGTCATGGTAACAATACCCATGGTAAGATCTTTGCAAACGTGATTTGATACTGGATGTTGTTGATTATTATTATTATTATTTATTTTTTTTTATTTTTTTTTTTGTGTGCAAATGTTGGTTTTCTTTATGCTGTAATTTAATATGTTATGAGTTCGCTTTGATAGAGACCAGTTTACTTGATTTATATTCTACAATGTAGAATTTAATCTTGTCTAGAGAAAAAACAAGGGAAAAAGAAAAGAGATATATTTTTGGCTGGTTGCAAATAGAATTATGACGTACTAAAGTTGCACTCGTAATATTTTAAAAAATATTTCTATTCATGGCGTGTATAAAAGTATACCGTTGAAAGACGCACAAAATTACCATTTTAAGGAGTGCTTAATATGTCATATAAATATCAATTATTCACCACGTGCATAAAAAAAAGTGTGCCATAAATATCAAGCTGTAGAATCTCTAGTTTGGTGTAGTGAGTATGTAGTTAAACTAAGCTAAACCACAGATATGTTGCACACACGTGCATGCACACTTTTATGCTCACATTATGATCTATGGTATGGAGCCTTAAAAGGAGCATATCTATACCAATATAGATTCACTTATGCTTTATGGTGATCCTTGCTTCTCCTTAACCTTTGTGTGTTTCTTTTTAATGATGGTTGAAGTTAGGAGAGTGAAAACTGGGATAATTACTAGACACATCTCCTCCTCATTTGGATGAAGCTATTGCAACCTCCAAGGTATGTGTCTTTTCTGGCTTGCCAACAAGCGCAAAATCTTTTTTACTCTTCTATTAGTTATTACTTTTAAGCTGGAATTAGTTCACTATGATGGGATATTGTTGAAGGAAGTTGCGGTTCCACCCCAAAACTAATTGGTAATGGGGGGAGTAGCCCAACTCCTTATAAGCCCTTGCTAGGTTTCTCAACATTCCAATGTGAGACTTTTTACCTTCACATTCTCACAATTGTTAACAGGGTCACACATTGCCAGACTTTTTGGATGCATCAATTGGCAAGATATTGAAGGTAATAATTAATGATGTCAACTTAGAATGAACAACTATGCACTTTGCAAATGCTGTTTTTGTTTATGTTGTAATTTAATATGTTATGAGTTCACTTTGATAGAGATCAGTTCACTTCTTCTTTTTTTCTTGTTCTTCCCAAGGTGTTAGCAGTCAGTGAGTTATCTAGGTTGCATGCCTCTTTGACAAAGGAAAGTGTTCCTGTGAATCAGCTTATTGTTAATCCGATTCTTTCCCTGTCTTGTTAAAGTATAAATGTGTTAGCTGAGTATTTGTGTTACTTGATTTAATTGTAGTGAATTAACTGTGAACCATTGGATCACAGTCCAATGGACAGCTAAGATGTATTCTTAGTTGTAGTAACGAATTCTGCCAGGTGTAGCTATCTCATAGGATAGTG